CCTTTCTAATGCTGTGATCCTTTAATACAGTTCCTTATGTTGTGGTGACCCCCAAACATAAAATTATTTTTGTTGCTACTTCATAACTGTAATTTTGCTACTGTTATGAACCACTACCCTGCTAGTGGTTTTCAACCTGCAGGTTGAGAACCGCTGCTGTAGAGCCTAAGACCATTGGAAAACACAGATTTTTACATTATGATTCATTAACAGTAGCAAACTTAGTTATAAAGTAGCAATGAAAATAATTTTATGGTTGGAAGTCACCACAAATTAAAGGGTCACGGCATTAGAAAGGTTGAGAACCACTGATCTATATGTGAACAATGATAAACCTACTTTGACCAACCTTGTACATACAAATTGCAAATATATACATATAATTGTAGCTATTAAAAATTTTAAGAACCCTTTATTATCCTAATAATAATCTCTGCTTATTCTTTTTTGTTAATAGCACCCTGATTTTGTTTTAAGGATAGTTTATTTTTATTCTCTCTGAGATCATTAACTATAATTTCATTAAAGTGTTTTTTTTTAGTGTGTTTCCATTCTTGTATTGATGTCTCTTTTATGTCGGGGCTTTCTTCAAATGTCAAGTAATCCTTGGTTTTCTGTTGATACTTTAAAAGTTAGGTTTAAAAAACACTGATTGGAAGTTCTGTGTGTTTGGACTTGGCTTTATCAACTGTAGAGTGCACTGTAGAATAATTGGGTGATGAGTTGACTTTTTATTGGGAAATTTCTAAACGCCTATATCAACAGGCACATGAGATATTTACCTGTGTAAAATTTTGTGAAGGTTAGTTATATATGGCATCATAAACAACTTGAAATTCAATGTTAGGTATATGAATTCCTAAATGTTCTGCTATTTGATTCATGCTGACCCACTTCTATCCCCAATCAGCTTTATGAATTGTTTTCGTAAATGAAGCCACTTCTTTCAAAAAGAATTATTGCTCAGTTTGTGCCATATACCTAAATATTAACTGTTGAGTTATAAACTCTAATAGTTACATGATAGCTGTTAGCTAATTTTACTTCTGAACTGGTGCCAACTTACATGTCACTTATTTCCTCATAATGTGTAATTATTGCATGTAGACCCATTCTACTCATTAAAGACAATTACATTTATCTTGAAGTTCATCAATCTCGTTGTTGTGACTTTGTTAAAAAGCCATGTTTATGTATCCTCTTCATGAGTGAGGTTGAGATTTTCTACATATTAGAATAATTGCACTGAAAAGCCCTATCTACTGACTTTCCATGTAACACTCTCTAACCCCTTGGCAAACTTCCTATTCAGGGCTCCTCCCCACCCTTTAAGTGGTATAAAAGCATCGTAGTTGTAGCTAAGCCATTTCCTTATGTGGAATCAAATACTTGATATGCTGGTCTTATTTACTAGACCTTCTAGCAACATTTGGTATACTAAATTGCTCTCTGCTTCTTGAATCTTTCCCACATACCACATTCTTCTGATTTTGTTTCTCCCTCCTATCACATTGGCCACTGTTTTCTATTTTCTTCTGTAAGGTTCATCTTTTCAACTTGAGCTGTGATGTGAGAGTGCTTCAGGATCTTGTACTTACCTCTTCTCCTCTCTGTCTCTTAAGGTGATTCTATCCAGTCCCTGGCCATATGCTGATGACTCAGTCTCTATGTTGTAGCCCCAGGACTCCTGAGGCTATTTGCCTACTTGACATCTTCACATAGATGTTCAATACAGAACTCTTGAGTCATACTATCTACACATACCCTAACTGCCCCTTATATACCTCTTACTTCTCTTTTTGTAAAATGGCACCACCATGCAGCCACTTGCTCAAGCTTAAAATATGACCATTACTCTTTATTCTTCTTCCACTTAACACACGTTGTATCTACAAACACTATTGGTTTTACTCCAGCAAATGCTTTGAACTTGTCTGATTCTCTGTATTTCCACAACACTTATCTTAGACCCATGGTTGGCAAACTGTGGCTTGCGAATCACATGCGGCTCTTTGGCCCCTTGAGTGTGGTTCTTCCACAAAATACCCTGGCCTAGGCGAGTCTATTTTGAAGAAGTAGCATTAGTAGAAGCTTAAGTTTAAAAATGTGGCTCTCAAAAGAAATTTCAATCATTGTACTGTTGATATTTGGCTCTGTTGACTAATGAGTTTGCTGACAAAGATATGTTTCTTCTGGACTACTTCAATAGCATCTCACCTGGTATCCTTGCTCCCATTCTTACACATAGCAACCACAGTTTTAGAAACATAAATCAGATCATGTCATTGTTTAAGACCCTCCTGAAGTCTCCTTACAGAACCGCACATGCTCTAGCTCTTCCCTACCAGCCCTGCGTTTGGTTCCTCACAACACCAAGCTCATCCCGTCCCTCGAGTCTAGTCTGTGTACAAGTGCTTCCTTTGCCTGGAATGACCTTCTCTCTTATTTGTTTGAGTCGCAGTCTTCTCTTCTAAAATGTCACCTCTTCAGAGTTCTTCCCTGCACACTGAGTTCTTTTCTTTCTCATCAGCCTATTTTTATTCTAACACTTACCACTATCTGATATTTTAATAATTTACTTGAATGTAAACTCCTTGAGAGCAGTGACCTTATCAGTCTCATTCAACCTAGTATCATCAGTGTCTGGCACTAAGAAAACATTCAATGCCTGGTTTTTGAAAGAAGGGGTTAATAGATGGATGAAAGGCATTTTTAGAAGCCTTATAATCCTTCTCTCTCTCTCTCTTGAGATGAGTAAACCAGAGAGAAAAGCAACTTGCCAAAGATCATGTAGATTGGCGGCTATTTGCTTTAAATTTGTTCACTGTTACACTAACCTTAGCTACATCCAGTGGCAAATATTTTTAATTATACTATTGGTTCTACCAATCTAATCAGTTCGTTGTCCCACCTTATCAGCATTATCTAACCTGAGGGTGCTATGGACAGAAGCACCTATATGTCTTATTGTGTCATTTGCCAGTGACTGGTCATCTTTATCCTGGGGCAATTATACAATATAAGCTTTGTTCATAAGCTTTGAGAACTGACTTTTTGGCTCTTCTCTCTTGTTGGCCCACAACAAACTCACCTTTTCACTTATTACTCAAAATCAAGTTCTTAACATGCTAAGCCTTGATTTTGTTGCCTGATCAGCTTTGCCATGATAGCAGAGGGGGATACCCAACAACAAACTCATTCTGTCACTTTTCTCCTCTATTTAGAATAATAAATATGAAATTCATTTCATGGGGATTAAATGATATAAGGAGTCTGCTTTTGTTTTATATATATATATATATATATATATATATATATGTATATATATATATGTATATATATATATATATATATATATATATATATATATATATATATATATATAATATAAACCCATTGTGATGCTCACAATAATACTATGGCTCAAGTATTACTATTATCTAATTTCATAGATGAGCAAACTGAGGCCCAGTGCCACAGAGCAAGGCAGAGGCAGCTAGGGCAGTCTGGTGTCAAAGGTCAAAGCTCTTGTCACTATAAGCAACATGGCTTAGATACCTTTCCAGATGACTATGCGGAGATCTGCATAATGTTATTACCTACAGAACATTCCATTGTAGGATGTCTTTTATCGACTCACAATTAATGAGAATTTTAATTTCTTTGAGATTTTATTACTAAAAATAAACTGCAAAAAATATATATAAAATGAAGCTGCTCTGGCCAGCCCAGTGCTTTTGTGGGTCTGTCTACAGCATACACTTCTAGAGGTGGCTAGCTGAAACAAAGAACTTGTGCACTAAATTTTCTGAGTTGACAATAACAAATTGCTCTCCACAACGAATAATAATTTCCCCTGGATTCTATAGACCACAAGAATCACTGTGGGGACTTGCCTCTGTTGTTGTTTTCTTATCTGATTTTTAAAAATTGGATTGCTCTGCTGTTTGACAAGGAATTTACTATATGACAAACAAAGTTTTAGGAAAGCTCCCCGTGTGTCTGTGAGGTGTCTGCTCCTGTGCCTGCGCTGCCTGGTACCCTGAGGCTCTGGGAGGATGAACGTGAGGCTGTCCACCTGGACTCAGCCTGAGAGGTTGATTGGCTCTTATTTAAGCAAAACCTCTAGCCCAGTGTTTCTCAACCTTTCTTCTGCCTCGACCCTTTAATACAGTTCCTCATGTTGTGGTGACCCCCAACCATAAAACTATTTTCATTGCTACTTCATAATTGTAGTTTTACTACTGCTATGAATCGTAATGTAAATATCTGTGTTTTCCAATGATCTTAGGCTCTAAGCAGTGTTTCTCAACCTGTGGGTCACATTAGAAAGGTTGAGAACCGCTGCTCTAAACCAATATACAGTTTCATTTACACTCCAGGGAGAGAGAGAACTGAGGAGGGAGACGCCGCAGAATGCAATCACCCCTCATCCCACCCCGACAAACTTCTGAAGAAATGGAATTGGTCACTTCTTTCCCATTTCAAGTCTCTCTTCCTGGCCAGGGCTGTTTCTCAGCGCATTGGCATGTGAAAAGTCCACGAGGAAAGGAAATAAAATTACTTTATTAACTACCATTTTGTTCATCCCTTGTTTGTTTTGTAAGGGGAACTATTAGCTAAGATATTGTGCCTGCCTCCAAGGAGATACTGCAGTCTTCTCCAACTCTGGTAGGAATGGAGCATGGGAAAATCTCTTGCATTTCTATGGGATGGAACTTAGAGCAACAGAAAGATCAGGACTAAAATTTCCCTATGTTCTTGAGAAAAGTAAAACTTTGAGAAAAGTAAAACTTTGAGAGGTTAAAGGACTCAGCGTAGCTTATTCAGATAGAGTGGTGAAGTCACAGCTGAGACTTCAATTCTACTTTCAGAGGTCACGTGTTCTCTATTGCACCTGAGGGGGCAGGGCTGGGGGAGAGCTTGGGTCTCCAAGCCTGACTACTATTCATGTCTAGTCTCATCCAATCAACATACTGACATCCTTCTCTGTGCTCCAGGCATACAGAGCTGCTGGATAAAATATAACAAAACTATTTTACATATGTGGAGGGCAGATGAAATTCTTATGTGCTAAAAGAAGACCCCCATAAGCAACATGGTGAGTGCGTGAGCTGATGCCAAAACAGAATGGGGGACAATCGGATGCGGCTACAGGAGTAACGACTAGGGGTTGGAGTTTTAACAGTGATCTAGAATAAAAGACTTGGGCCTGTGAATAGGGAAGCGTTGAAACTGAAATTTACACACAAAGCTAGAACCAAGGAGGAAATGTTATCACCATAAAGGGGATCATAAAACATTGCTCACTTACAACCAAACCACTGGTGAAATTCTCACCAGTTAGATATCTCCAAAATGAAACATTTTTTAAAATTTCTGCCAGGCAAAGGTGTAGAATCCAAATTGCTGATTACTTTCATAGTATAGGACTCCCAAATGGAGATATTAATATTGGTACTGGAATACTTCAGACCAGTGAGATCCTGAAGTCCCCAGGAATAAAATGCCAGACTTGTTTGAAAGGTTACTACAACATCTTAAAGTACACAGAAATTCCACGGGGAAAATGTATCCTCGCAATAAAAAAAAAGTACAAATCAAACAAGGAAATGGTCCACAATGGGGGAGAGGACTTGTACCTCAACAACCTGAGAAAACATAACCTAAAGCTGTAGGAAAAATAAAGCTGTCTGTAAGTATATGTGCAAAATCATCGAGGAGCTAATGGGAGAACTGAAAACTTCATGAAAGAACAGGGTACTAAAAAACGGGCAGAGATGAAAAAAACAGTAGAATAATTTAAAAAGTTATGGATAGAATGAAATACAATGACCAGCTTTAAGAGCAGATTGGCACACTTAAAGAATGGATGGTAGGAAAGATAAATCTGAGGAAATTATCCAGAGGGCTGCAGAGAGATAAAAAGGCATAAAATTCAAAAGACAGGTTTAAATTAGACGTTTCAATTTAGGTTTAATGGGAATGTCAGAAGGAGAAAGAGGGAGAAGGGGCAATATTTTAAGTGAAAAATAGCTCTGGAAAATTCATAGCCCAGAAAAGCCTCAAACTGAAGGAACTCACTGAGTCCTGCGTACAACGTATAAATCTACTCCTAGACTCCTGTGAAGGACAGAACACGAAAATAAGCAAACGCTAGCTGAAGAGCAAGTAGAGAAAAAAAGTATTGCAAAGCAATAATCATTAGAATAATAATGGACAAAAGCAAAACAGAGACCAGAATGAAAATCTGATTATCAGAATCACTTGAGCCGCACATTAAAATGCAGTATTACCGTATTTTTCGGACCATAAGACGCTCCAGACCATAACACGCACCAGTTTTTAGAGAAGGGAAATGAAGAAAAAAAGATTCTGAAACAAATAGTGTCCTAAAATATTTTATGTGCATTAAAACCCAACATCACAGTCATAAACACATGTAATCAACCCTGTAAACAGCAGCATTTAGAACCATTTTAGAGCCAGGCAAGCACACAGAGACCACACAGAGCCGGGCAAGTAAAAAAACTTTTTTTTTAAAGTATATGTGTAGGCTATATTTGGACCATAAGACGCAGGGACTTTTCCCCCCTACTTCTGGGGGGGGGGGAAAGTGCGTCTTATGGTCCGAAAAATACGGTATGTTTTTCCCCCCAGATGCTCAGGATGGCATTCAGGATGATGCCTTTTACAAAAGCTACTCTGGCCATCAGGTGGGTTTAAAACCCCTTTATTCCTTAGCACCAAATACATGAGCGCCCGCAGATGTTCATCGACAATTGTCCCTCCACATTCACTGGGGACGGGCTCCACAGCCCCTATGGATACCAAACCTCATGGACGTTCACGTGCCTTCTGTAAAATGGCATAGCACTTGCATAAAACCTCCTCACACACTCCATAAACTTTAAACCATCTCAAGATTATGCATAATCCCTAACACAATGTAGGTGCTATTTAAATAGTGAGACTGCATTGTTTAGGGGACAATGACAAGAAATAAGTCTATATGTTCAAGACAGATGCAATCGTCATAGGCCTAGCTACACAGTATACATCAACAAGGTAACATTCATGTCAAATATTTTTGATGCGCAGTTGGTTGAATCTGGGCATGTGGAACCCACAAAAATGGAGGGTGGACTATACTAAAGAAACGAGGAGGTTGGATCCATAACCAAGGATAGTTTCTAAAGGTTTTCTCTCTTTCCAGTCTCTCGGGCAGTCATGCTACTTGGTACCAGAAGGTGATTCCCAAAAGAAAGGCAAGCGACTTTAGTTCGAGCACCTCCTGCCTCACAGTTTCTCTTGCATTGCCATCGTCACTGTAAGAATGGTTAGAACCAGATGTTGCATCATCTGAATCCTGGGTGGGTATTTGATGAGACTCAGGAATAGCCTGTGTTTACAGAGTATTTGGTAAGACCTGCTTCCTATGTTACTTGATATTTCACGTTAAATACAAGCAGACATGTTAACCCACCAATACCAGAAATCTATTCTCATACCAAGGGTTGTTCAACTGTTATACTTAGGACTAATTCTATGGTAAAGTCGCACTGACTACAACTACCGTGTTTCCCCGAAAATAAGACATCCTCCGAAAAAGACCTAGCGCATGGAAAGATAAGACATCCCCTGAAAATAAGACCTAGCACTACTTGTAGGAAAGTGCCTCAAACACACACACACAAATTACATAGGCTCTTTATACAGGCACACTGCAGAGGTGTCATTCTGGGTTCAGTTTCAGACCACCACAACAGAATGACTGTCACAGTAAAGACAGTCATCATCTTTTTGCTGGTGGAGGGTTTGCCTTCAACCTGTCAAATTTGCTGTATCTGAAATGCAGTGAAAAGAAGCACCACCACTTGGCTAACTCGAAGTGGTTCATCCCAGCATGGCATGCACATAGGTGAGCGGATGGAAGGTGGTATGGTCTGAACACTCTGTTTCAGACACATGTAATAATGCATTCTGCTTTTGGGCATTATTACACACACAACACTAGTAGAGAATGCTTAAACAATGGCATGTCCACATGACAGAACTGTGCCAGGTTCAAAATTATGTTTTGAATAGGCAGATTACAAGACAAAGTTTAGAAGTACCATAAACACAAAGAAATACTTAACCTCATTAATAAAAGTAATAAAACTCCCTTTTTACTCATCATAAGTTAAAGAATGATATCAATGTTGGTGAAGGTGTGGAGAAATGGGCACTACTTTGGTGTGGGCAGTACATGTTGGTACATACTTTCTAGATAGAAATTTGGTAATATGTAGCCAAAGACTTAAAAATTCACGTAATTTTTTTTATCAGCAAATCCACATAAATGGTATATTTTTTTAAAATAATGTGAACAAGTATAGCATTGTTTACATTAAAAAAACTGGGAACAATTTAAGTGTCTGAAAATAGGAATTATTTAAAATGTGCTATACAATGGAATATAGTTGGGAAAGATATTCATAATACATTGGTAATTGTTTTAAAATTAATTATTTTATTTCACCTTCTATTTTATATTTTGTAAAATTATAGATAACAAAATGCCAAGAAGGTGATGTAATAAGAAATCATAATGATGGAAAAATGTATGTTACAAAAAAAAAGATTATCTCTGGGTGATGGAAACCTTTGGATGGTTTTCTTTTTTCCATAGTATTGTCTATAAATAATTTTGCAATAGAATTTTAATTATCTAAATAAAAAGATGGTTTGACTATCATATGAGATAAAGCGACCTTTTTTGCTATAATTGACACTGTGACTACAACTACATAGAGATGTAACCTTACTAGAAGGAAGGCAGGCATCCCTGCTAAAGGCAGGGTTCTTTGGCCAGTGGAATAGAGGGCAAATGTTTTTCTATTTCTATTAATGTCTCAGACTTTCCCATCTATTACCAATTTTATATGTAGAAGAACTAGAAGGAAATGTGTCTTTAATATAGATTAAATTGATAAGGTAATTAGGATTTTCCCTTTACATTTTTATCTTATATGCCTCTCTGCTGTATCAACTGTTCACACGGAGTCCAAATGCCAGATTTCTAGGTTCCCACCGCATTAGGTGCTTTTACGTAAGATACTCCTGGGTTTGTGCTTTCCATTATGAAAACAGAAGCTTTTCTGGAATCCTCGCCCGAGTGTAGCAGGGAGCTAGGCAGGATTGGAACGTGCTCCTCCTCACCTGGCATCCTGTCTCCGAAGGGGATGGGGGTGATGAGATCTTGGCACCACTGCTCCAGACCCACGTGGCAATGCGTTTGCTTTTTGGCTTCAACTCCTCACACATATGCTCTGCCTTTCCGCTTTCAAGCAGGGCGCTCCTCGCCTGCACCAGTCGGGATGTCAGCAGGCGGCCCGCTGGCCCCCAGAGCTTTCTGCACATTGCACCTTGGCACCCAGACACACCCACACCATCCGGCCTCCCTCCCCTCACACTCCGTATTCCCTTAGAGCTGTGGTTCTCAACCTTTCTAATGCGACCCACAGTGAGAACCGCTGCTGTAGAGCCCAAGACTATCGGAAAACACAGATATTTACATTATGATTCACTAACTGTAGCAAAATTACAGTTATAAAGTAGCAACAAAAATAATTTTATGGTTGGGGGTCACTACAACATGAACTGTATTAAAGTGTCACGGTATTGCAAAGTTGAGAGAGTCATCCCAAGTCGATCAAGCCTGGATATTGAGACAAAGCCAGGTTTTCTTCAAAGAATCGCCTCGTTTCCATCTGCTGAGATGCCCTTTCCTGTCCCCAGAGAAAGCACGTTCTCCAGTCCCTCTGCAGCTTCTGGCTGTCCCTTTCCCGTCCCATCACCATAGTCACCTCAAGGAAACAACCTCGTCACTCCCCGGCCCTGGAGTCTTCTCCAGCTGCCGTCACATTCGGCATAATGTAGGTATTTCTTAGATGGGAATGTGTCCTTCATGAGGTGCCCCCAACTTAGCTGTCAGCCCCCACCCTCACACCCATTTCCCGCCTTCCTCTGCCGCTCTAACACATGGTCCCTGGACCTGGCCCGCCTCTGCTTTGCCACTTGCTGTTCCCTTGCCTTTTCCACTTGGTCCCTATCGAT